GTGTTGAATGGGTAGTGAAATGGGAAAAGAGAGAGAGAGAGAGAGGGAGAGAAAGAGTGTGTACCGATAAAAATCTATAAATTTGAAATCAATTTGAGAATTAATTTCATTAATGTTAGACATGTATATTAAATTAAAGAAATAGTGCTACGTTAATTTTGACAATTATCTATAAAAAAGTTTTGGCAAAAATATTGGGAATTTGTAGGAGAAGAAAAAGGGAAAAAGAAGGAAAGAAAGGATAATGTAATTTGAATTGGAATTTTTTTTCTTCCGAATAAATAATCAATAAGCGAATTATTTCTAAATTTCATTTCGTATTAAATTTTTCAAATAATAAATGAAAAAATTATTTTTAAATTTCATTTCATGTTTTTCTTTTCTGTTTATAAATTGTTCAAATTTAAGTACATTATTTTTCATTTATTATAATAAAATTAACACTTATAAAATTTGAAAGTTTTATGAATTATTTATCTTTCGAAATGACCGATTTGTGAAAATTTCAAAATTGATATTTGCAATTTTATAAAATCTTTCATTCATTTGATTTGGTGTAATCAAATAATTGTACCAAATAGATGCAAGGACAAATTCTCTCTCTTTCTCTCTCTTTCTCTCTTTCTTCTCTCTCTCTATATGCGTATTATATAAAATGGTCAATTATAAATTATCGAACAATGATTTTTGAATTTATTTATGGAAATAATTACTAGTGATGATAGTGATTCTGATGACAATGATAATGATAATAATAATAGGAATGATAATCTTAATATCAACAATGTTATATATCGTTGACTTTGCAATTTGGGGCAATTTCATATTTATATATACCTTATAATTATTATATTATTTTAATACAAGTAATATATAAGTATTCGTTTTCCAATCTTTCTTTCAAATGTTTGTGCTTTTTTTAGGCATTAATTATTTTTGATAAGCATTATTTGTTATTAATAATTTTCTCATTGTTTTTTATTTTTCAATATAAAAGAAATGTTTTTTTCTTCTCTACAATGAATCAATTTCATATCATTTAATTAATTTTTTATTAATTATGCTTCATTTTCATTTCAATTCTTGAATTTATAATATTAACAACTTTACATTTTTGTTTATTGAATGCAATTATACGCCACAATTTATGTAAATAATTATTCTAACTTTTTGTTTAGTATTTTAAATTCGTTAATTGTGGACAGTATTGTAATAATCAATAATATGACTAAAGTTAAAGCAAGGAAACTCTAATGATTTCATTAGTGGTGATATATTGGACACAAATTTATCAGAAATATTGGCTGAGATATCGCGGGAAGAAATGTTTTTTGTAGGCAAAAAAAAAGAAAAACGAAAAAAAGACGAAATATCCCGTAAAGATTTCTGTTTTTTGTAAAATAGTATTTGAAAATAATGATTTTCAATTTCATAAAGGATTTTACCATATTGGATAACAACATTTTCCATGTATACGGTATATTAATATATGGTACTCAATAAGAGGTACTCCTCTCATCCTCTATTCATTATTTTTACCTCATATCATAGCGCTTCCAAATATTTCCCGATAATTCCTGTTGACCTCATTTTTTTAAAATATGCAAGATTTACAAACAAAAATTTTTTATGATTAAATTAATCAAATGATTGAATTCATCATTTGATAGATTTCCTCTCCATTCCATACTTTAAATTTCTTCTTTTCATTCTATGAAAATTTAAAAATTTAGATTTCACTTCTTTTTTTTCCATTTCATAAAAATTTAAAAATTCATTTTAGAAAAATGTTTCGACATTTTTTTTTTCGTTAAAGAAAAAAGCTAATATAACCCAATAATGGTGAATATCTTTTTGCATCATTCGTTTTCCATCAATTACTTTTTTATCATTTTATTTTTCTTTTTTGACATTACTGAAAATTCGATTTGCATATTACATGATTTGATAACGTTCATCATGTGATTTACCGATGTTTGTTAGTTATAAATTATCCGGTCATCCGGTATAACATTTTGTATGATCCAGAAAATAGTACCAATTAGTGTAATTTGCTTTAAATAATCAAATAAATGGATTATTTGTTTTCCGGACTTATTCATTTAATTAATTGCAAAAAGAAAAAGAAAGCAAAATAAATTTTTTTTCCCTTAAAAGGGATGAAAATTTTCAAGATTTTTAATAATACTCCTAAAATTTCTTAATGGAACAATTTTTCTAAGTATTTGGATTAACGTCATTGTAGCTTCTTAATGAACGGAAGAGATTAAAATTGGGACAATTTGACCGGTTTGCTACCATTGGCCTCTTTCTTTTTTTTTTCAAAAAGGCTGATAATTCTTCTAACAATTCCTTTATAAGAATTAAAAATGAACCAAGAAAATGAGTATTTTCGAAATGATTGATATAAGTAATTTGGGTTAATTTTTTTTCTTTTCTTCAAAATCTAGTTGCAATATTTTCCCCAAAAATTCTCCTACATATTTCCGGAATTTTTTTGATTTGCTTAGAATTTTTTAGAATTTATTTTATCAATACATAGAATTTATTTTTATTTTCTTATATAATTGATCAATTCCAATCCTTTTTGATCTTTCTTTTCTTTTTTTCAAGTTTATTTGAACGATTGAATAATTGAATTATCTGAAGTGATAAATCATGTAATTAAAATAAATTGAAATGAATTTGAAATTTTTATTTCAAGAAATTTATTCATATTAGATAATCTAAACGTCATTTTCTCAGTTTCTTTTTTTCTTTTTTGTTGCGAAATTTACAGTAATTTATTTTAAAATTTGTTCTCACCAATTACCGCATGCTTTTTTTTCGAACCAATTAACACAAATGAAATAATTGAACTGATTAACTCCCAGACATTTCTTCTATGATTTTCTCTTCCGGATTTATGTCTTAGTGTTATCTTTAATCCGCTTTTCACTTCAAATTGTATACGTTACAACACAGTTATAGGCATTATTATTAAGAATGTGTGAGATGGGAACCGGAATTAAGAGTGTAGTAGGAAATGCAAATCCGGTGTTGGTATACTGTAATTGATTTCTTTTATGTTCATTGTTTTTTTTGTTTCTTTTATGGTCACTCGTTATCCGGTTGAAATTCACTGGATATCACGGAAGTATATTTTCTGCCTCTAATGTTACTTCAGTTAGTTTTTGTTTTTCGATTATTTTTTATTCAATGCTTACTTTTATAGTATGCGACAGACGGCAAATCCGTTACGTGATCGGATGCATCGAACAGAAAATTCACTAGAAGTATGGATTTTGGAAGCTAAAGGTGTTCCGGTTAAACGGAAATATTACTGTGAGATATGTTTGGATAAGATATTATACGCCAGAACATCAGCAAAACCACGTGGTGATATTTGTTTTTGGGGCGAGCATTTCTATTTCAGGTTTATTTTCCTCTATTAAATTTCGCTGCGATTTTAAACCTATCCTTTGTAATATCGATTTTTTTCGTAAAATTTGCAAAAGTTTAAAATTGCAGACGATGCATACATATTTTTTCATTGATATTTGAAATATTTGGAAGCAATTTTTTTAGAAATAATGAATAAATTTAAAAAATAATAACTTACAAAATATAATTCAAATTTATACTATTTTAATCCAAATTTATTCAAAATTTGTACTTGAATTCATGCTAATTCAAATTTGTCCAAAATTAATACTTCAATTTATGGCAATTTAAAATATGTTATTCTAATTTAAATTTATTGAAAATTTGTAATTAAATTTATGCCAATCTAAATTTACGGCGTTTTAATTCAAATTTATTCAGAATTTGTATTTAAATTTGTGCTAATTCAAATTTATACTAATTTAAATTAATAAATAAATGTTGTTTCGTATCTTTTCAATACATCTCTCAAATTGAGCATCACGTATCTGAAAAAAGTAATTTAAATGATTTTTTCAAGAAGAAAAAAATGAAAGAAACAGTTTTACTTATTTTTCCTCTTTAAACTCCTAATAATATTACTGTAATTACAATCATACAGAAAATCAATATATACACCTTAAGAAATACTTAATTTAATTGTATTTTTTAATGAATTTTACAATTTTTAAAATTTTAGTCCAATTCCAAAATTGGAAAATATTTGCATCAATTTATATCGTGAAGCAGATGCGAAAAAGAAAAAGGATCGTTCAACGTTGATTGGTTACGTTCAGATTAAAATTGATCAACTTACTACGCGACATCCTGTGGAACGATGGTATGTCTGCTTATTTCTCTCTCTCTCTCTCTCTCTCTCTCTCTCTCTGTATCAT